GTGACACGATTAAGAAATAAACATGTATTTTTCAAGCCCCTGAGATTTGGAGATTGTTTGAAATCACAGTTGCCACCCTCCTGACTAATACCTTAGGTATTCTGCCATGGGGGTCACCTAGGAGAAAAAGAAGAAAGTAAGCCTGGACCACATATAGCCCCTATAGTAGGGCTTATGCAGATTGCTCTAAGCCTTGGCTGGTGCAGCTCAGTGGATTGAGTGCAGGCTGTGAACTAAAGGGTCGCAGTTCAGTTCCCAGTCAGAGCACATGCCTGGGTTGCAGGCCAGGTCCCCCCAGTGGGTGCCATGTGAGAGGCAACCATATATTGATGCTTTTCTCCCTCTCTTTCTCCTTCCCTTCCCCTCTCTCTAAAAATAAAGAAATAAAAATATTTTTTAAAAAAGATTGCTCTACAGGGGTAGGGCCCCCTCTCAGCCTAATCAGTGTCTCTTGGTCCTTCTTCCATGTCCCTCTGTAATGCCAAGTATGTCCCCAAAGACCAGGAGAAGAAACCTGGCACAGGCTCTGCCTTGATGGGGGAAAGTTGGAGTATTGTATCTGTCAGATTTTGGCTGTGATACCCCTGCAGAACTATAGGTTTACAATAAGAAGCAATTATATTTGTTATCACATGTCTATTTGTTGGCAAGTGTGGCAGCTCTGCTTCAGACTGAGAGCTGTGTTCAGATCTACTTCATGTGTCTCTAATTCTGGAATTGACAAACTCATGGCAGATTGCATAAGTGCAAACCACCAAACCAAACCACACAAGTACACTTAAGCTTCTGCTCATGGCACATCCACTAATGTTTCATTCATCAAAGTGAGTCACAAGTCCATTCAGTAGGGTGGAGATGTTTACTCTGCAGACTGTGAGCCATGGCAGAGTAGGAAGGGAAGAAGAATTGTGGGCAAATCCTAATGTACCACAAATACCATCTTAAAAAAGGCAGTGACCTGCCTAGAATTCAGTGTCCCTGGGCCTGTAGGACTGTGTTTGCTTGAGTGAGTGATGTAAGGAATTGCAAGGAATTGAGCTGCAAGGAATTGACCAGAATGTTTGGAGTAATGGGAAGTGAAAGTGGAGTCAAAGGCCTTAGTTCCTTGTCATGCTGCTAAGTGATCATGACCTTTGGGAAGTCATTTCTCTCTGGACCTCAATTCAATTCTCTAGGACCTGAGAGAGGTTGGCAGGGGGATTTCTAATATCCTTTCAATCTCATATGTCTGAAGACTCTAAGAAACCTAACTGTATGATCCTAAGGCAAGATCTGTGAGAGCCTATTGTCTTCAAGCCAGGCAACCAGACGTGTGTGCTCTTCTGCTCTAGCAGAGAATGTGGGAGAAGATGGTTTCTGCAAAACCCTTCCTAGAGAGAAGCTTGAGAGAAGACTCAAGTATATTTCTCTGTGCACATCTAAAAAGCCCTTAGATCAGGCTACTTGGGGCCTGATAATTTTTCCATTAAGAGGAAATAATTTTCTGGGTCTGTTTTGCTTATATTTATCTGCAGCGGACAGCATCATCTGCTGCACCCCTGACATGCCGCCCATCCCCCGGATGAGATGTGTGCTTGTGGGGAAAGGAAAGGGAAAGAGGTCTCAGCATCTTCCGGGCTGAATGAAAGGCCCAGGCAGCTACAACATGACCCTGGTATCCATCTCATGTGACCCAGTTCTGACCTCAGATACCTCCTGCTCCATCTTCTTCCCTAAAAAATAAATGTAAACAATAACCCAAACAAGAAACCCACCACTGTGCTATCTCCGCCCCAGCCCCCACCTCCTGCCTATCGCTTCTCCTAAGCCAGCTTGACAATAACCATTCATCACAAAAAAGAAAACAAAGTACGGAGAAACAAAAACCAATCTAAGGCTGCAAATTGACGTCAAACTTTGAAAAATGGACTGTGAACTGGTTGTGCGTTGAGTTCTTTCTGCTTTCCAGAGCAGATGGGGCTGGGCACCTCCTGTCACTAACCCTTATGGCCCAAGTTCAACTTAGAGGTGACTACAGTCCAGGGAGCAGATGTGACTTTCAGAGGTGACACTGGCATGCAGACGGGTGGAAAAGTCCTGCAGGATTTATGGCAAAGAAGAACTACCTCCTGTTCTGGCAATAGGCCCACCTGAGTGAGGGTCTTGAGTAGGCAGGGCCCAGGAGAGGGTGATGCTTACCCCATGCCATCCTTCTGGATTCTGGTCCTTATGGAGCTGGGGGTGTAAGATCCTGGCTGATCTGGCTTCAGGGGAGATTGAAGAAGGAAGAAATCCCAGATTTTGACACCTTGCATCTATATGTATAAAGGGCTTTACCAAGTTTACGGCATTTTCATAGGCATGATCTCATTCCCAGCAAGCCTGGGATATAAGTGGAGCAGCATATCCCATTGCAGAGCAGAGGAAAGTGAGGTGTGAAGATAGTCTATGGCTCACCCAGAGTCATACAACTTGTACGTGATCTGGTTGGACTAGAACCCAGGTCCTTCTGATTCCTGAGCTGATGAGCTTTCTATTTGGAACACTTTGAACTGCTTGGAGTCTGAGGGATCATTAACAATATCACTAAGTGCCTACACTTTTCAAAAGGGGAATCTCAAGACCAGAGAGGAAAGCTGATTTAACTGAAGTTTCAGTCAGTTGATAGAGTCTTAGGGTGCAGGGCCAAGGGGTTCCTGATTCCTAACCAGGTGGAAGCATCGTGCCTGCAGTGTCCCAGTGAAGACCTGGAACCCTACAGTGGGATTCCCAGAGGGAATGGCTGAGACTGCAATTGGTGGAACCAGATGGGACATTTGCCTCCCAGTCTTTGTCTCGAGACATGGTCCCTTTTGGTTCACTAGATTGGGCCTGAGGAGCCATAGGATGATGGAAATCTGGGAGGAAAGTGATTGGCCCCTAACTAATAATGTGTGATAAAGGCTAGTTCTGTCCCTTCAGGAAACTACTTCCTTCCCTCCTTTCTCCTCCTTTTACAATTAAATGCCTACTCTCCAAGCTGATCACCCAGTGCCTTTGACACCCAGTGTCTCCTGATGCTTAGGACTCCCTAAGGCCATGGCCCAGGTCTTATGGGGCCAAGGAGCACCAGATACTATGGGTTTTCCCCACTCCTCTCTGCCCACCAGGAGACTTCTCTCTTTCGTGACCCATTTCCTCAGGACTTGTCCCCTGGAAGAAGATCCAGCTTATCTGGCAGGCTCAGTGAAGGCTGATTGCAAGGGTTCAAATCCAGGTTCTTCTACCTATTAGCCCTGTATTCCTGAACAAGTTAATTAACTTCCCTTAGCTTCAGCTTTCTTATCTGAGAAATAAGGATAATAATACTTACTTCATAAGTTTATTGGGAATTTTAAGTGAATTTACGTAAAGAGCTTAGCACAATCTCTGAAGCATAATAAACATTCAATGAGTGTTAGTTATTTTTAGTTTTTAAAGCTATTCATGCTCTTGCCTTGATGGAAGCTAATGACTCATGGCAAAGTTAAAATAGATGTGTTTTTACAGAGATATAATCAAGGAAAGGCTTTATCAGAAGGGTATGGGGATTTAATTTCTGTGGGGAGAGCCCTTTTGAATGATGGGCTCTTCCATCTAACCATGCTGAAGAGCACATTGCAGGCCCTAGATGTGAATCATGACTTGAGTATTTGGGACTGTCAGCCAAGACCCTTATTTGAATTAGAACTCACACCCCTCAGCTGAAGCATGGGGCAAGAGGTTTTAAAATCATAGCCAGGTGATGAAGGGCACATGGGTAGGGAGTAAAGTGGGAAAAGGGGACAGGACCCCATGGCCTGGCACCATTTCAGCAGGGTGAGTAGGATCTTTTGCTTTTTGCAATCCAATGAGCAGGATCCCAGAACGACCATCTCCACCCCCTGCCTCCAAACACCTATTAATGGCGTGTTCTTGGAGAAGGTATTTAATTTCTCTGAACTTCTATCTTCTCATCGGGACAAGATTGAAATAAATAATGTAGATAGAAAGCGCTTTGTAAATGACAGACCAAAGTATTATTTTTTTTTGTATAGCTTTTACTTGAAGTCAAATGACTTCAGATTTGGTAAATCTAAAGGCTACTATCTGTGAACTCCACCCTTGCTCTTGCCAGAGCTGTGGTTGTATGGGAGCAGTGATCCCTAGAAAAACACTCAAGTGTGTATGGAGGGAAGGGGAGAGGTTACTGAAGGAGAGGACACAGACATATCCTAGGTGCTCAGAGCAGGGGCTGAGGTGCTGCTAGGCTGCCTGGGAAATGAAGGTGCAGGTGGGTTCAAGTCCATAGTGTCTTCTCTGTCTTGGCATTTTGGCCTTTCTCTGTGCATTTGCTCTGCTCTCTTTGCATTCAGTCAGTTTACATTACTTACTCAACAGTTCTACTTACCTATAGTTTCAACTTATTTGTGACCATGGTCTTCCTAGCCCCGTCTTTGAACAGACTTGTCACTCTACCATCCACAGGCACCAACGGCACTTTTCCTCTCAACATCTTTGCTCAAACCCCAGAAGGAACCTGACTGTTTTGTGACTTGTAAGACCATACAGCATTATGGATCAGTTTCTCTTAGGTCCTGTGCCCACCCCTTATCCAGTCATCTGAGACTAGAAGAACAGGGTCCTGTGCTACTTAAGCAGTGGAGGATTAGGGTGGTGAGTGTTCCCTTAGAATGGTCTGTAGATGGGTGAGGACGTGATCAGAAGTCCTATACCATGTAGACAAATCACAATGTCTCAACAACAAACTATCCAGGTTCTTCATCTGGAAAGCAGATTATTATGTAGGTTAAATGAGTCAGTTGATGAAAGTGATCTGAACCCCATATCCACTTTCTTTTCTTTAATTAATTTATTTTTATTGTTGTTCAAGTACAGCAATATCTACTCCCATTTTCTCACCCATATCTACTCCCCCCATCCCACCCACCCCTACCCCACCCACCCCCACCTCCCACCCTTGATCTTATCTAACTTTGGCTTTGTCCATGTGTCCTTTAAACAAAAATATGAAAGCTTTCACAAATTTGCATGTCATCCTTGTGCAGGGGCCATGCTAATCTTCTCTGTATCGTTCCATTTGTAGTGATGTGCTGCTGAAGTGAGCACCTGTAGGCACTTTCTTAATGCAGGCCTTTATCACCTCTCTCCTGGACTAACCCAAAAGTCCCCCAACTGGACTCTTGGCCTCCAATTTTGCCTCTCCCCTCATTGGATCAAGTCTATTTTCCACTGAATTGCCATAGTGAGCTTTCCAAAATGTAAATTTGAAGAGCTACAAGATCACATGCTGGTGAGGATGTGATGAAATAGACATCTTATATTTTATTGACGGGGCTGTAATGTTGTTACAAGTCCAGTGACTAGTAGGCTGCAATACCTATTAATATTAAAAATACCATAAACTTAGATTTTACATTCCTGCTTTTGGCAATCTATCCTGTAGAAAGAAAACCATCCATATGTAATACTTACCTGAACAGGTAAAGCAATTTTATTGCAGCATTATTTTAGGTGTCAACATATATATTCAATAAATAAATGTACTTAAATAACCTGAATATCTAACAATAAATGGTTAATTAAATTTTACTGCATTTATGCACTGGAAAGTTGGACACATTTTTTAAAAGGTGGTAGTTCCACATCTATTGACTAGGCGGTACATCACTACATGAGATAAATGGCTAGCTTAGGGAAGGTTATGATGTCATTTTGAAAAAAAAAACAATGAGTGTGGACTTCTGGCCAAGATGGTGATATAGGTAGATACACTGTGCCTTCTCCCACAACCAAAAGAAGGACAACAAATTTAAAAACAAACAAACAAACAAAAACACAGAACTGACAGAAAATCAAGCTGTATGGAAGTCTGACATCCAAGGAATTAAAGAAACATTTATCCAGTCTGGTAGGACGGTTGGACATAGGCAGCCAGGGCAGAGAGGACTCCAGGCATGTAATGGCTGGTGGACTGGGTAGGGGAGGTGGTAGCTGGTGGAGCAGGAAGTCCCACATTTGTGTGTGGATAAACTGGAGGAACAACTTGGGGAGTTAAACAGATCATGCAACCCAGGGTTCCAATTCAGGAAAATAAAGCCTCAAAACCTCTGACTAAAAAAATCTGTGGGGGTTGCTGCAGTGGGAGAAACTTCGAGCCTCATAGGAGAGTTTGTTAGAGAGATCCACAGGGTCCTAGAAAACACACAAAACCACCCATTTGGGAATCAGCACCAGAAGGGTACAATTTGCTTGTGGGTAGTGGCACAAGTGACTGAAAGCTGCCGAGAGCTGAGCAAGCAGCATTGTTCCCTCTCAGACCCCTCCTCTCACATACAGTACCCCAGCACAGCTACATAAGTTGCCCCCTCCCTGGTGATTGACTAAGGCTCTACCTCTTACTTCATAACGGTCACATCCAGATGAAAAATATGGCCCCAATGAAAGAATAGATCAAAGCTCCAGAAAAAATACAAATAAGCAATGAAGAGATAGCCAACCTATCATATGCAGAATTCAAAACACTGGTAATCAGGATGCTTACAGAAGTGGTAGCAAAGTAGAGGAAAGGTGAAGGCTATGCAAAACAAAATAAAGGAAAATATACAAGGAACCAATAGTGAAGGGAAGGAAACTCAAATCAATGGTTTGGAGTAGAAGGAAGAAATAACCATTCAACCAGAACAGAATGAAGAAACAAGAATTTGAGAAAAAATGAAGAGAGGCTTAGGAACCTCCAGGATAATTTTAAACATTCCAACATCCAAATTGTAGGGATGCCAGAGGAGAAGAGGAGGAGCGAGAAATTGAAAAGTTATTTGAAAGCGTAATCAAGGAGAATCTCCCTAATCTAGCAAAGGAAATAGACTTCCAGGAAGTCCAGGAAGCTCAGAGAGTCCCAAAGAAGTTGGACACAAAGAGGACACACCAAGGCACATCATAATTAAGTTACCCAAGATTAAGGACAAAGAGAATCTTAAAAGCAGCAAGAGGAAAGTAGTTACCAACAAAGGAGTGCCCATAAGACTATCAGCTGATTTCTCTAAAGAAACCTTGCAGGCAAGAAGGGGCTGGAAAGTATTCCAAGTGATGAAAGGCAAGGCCCTCCATCCAAGATTACTCTATCCAGCAAAGCTTTCACTTAGAATGGAAGGGCAGATAAAGTGCTTCCCAGATAAGGTCAAGTTAAAGGAGTTCATCATCACCAAGCCCTTATTATATGAAATATTAAAGGGACTTATCTAAGAAAAAGAAAAAGATAAAAAATATGAACAGTTAAATGACAACAGATTCACAGCTATCAACAACCAAACCTAAATAAACAACAACAACAACAAAAAACAAAAATGAACTAAGCAAACAACTAGAACAGGAACAGAATCACAAAAATGGATATCACATGAAGGGTTAGCAGCTGGGAGGGAGAGATGGGAGAATGGGGGAAAATGTACAGGGAATAAGAAGCATAGATGGTAGGTACAAAATAGATGGGGAGGTTAAGAATAGTATAGGAAATAGAGAATCCAAAGAACTTATATGTACAACCCCTTGACATGAACTAATGGGGGGGATGCAGGTGGGAAGGATGGTGCAGGGTGGAGAGGAATAAAGGGAAGAAAAAATGGGACAGCTGCAATAGCACAATCAATAAAATATATTTAAAAAAGAAAAAACAAGTGTGAAAAGTGGCATAATTATGTGTGTATATGTTCATATTTGTTTGATGAACATGGAAATGTGGAAAATTACTGAGTGCAGTGCAGTGTTTTTTAACCTTAGTAAACATCAGAATCACTGGAAGGGATTGTAGCAGTTTGTATTTTTTCCAATTTTTTAAAATTGAGATACAATTGACAGGTAATGCTATATAGTTTCAGGTACACAACATAATGATTTGATATTGGTATTTATCATAAAATGATCGCCACAATAATTCTAAGTAACAGCCATTAGCACAAATAGTCACATTTTTTTCTTGTAACGAAGAGTTTTATGATATACTCTCTTAGCAACTTTCAAATTTACAATATAGTCTTATTAACTGTAATCAGAAGACATTTCTAACAAGCTCCCAGATGGTGCTAATGCTTCTATTTCAGAAACACACTTAGAGAACCACTGGTGTGGAGGAGTAACAGAAATGGAGTAGAGGAAAATATGAAAAGTTTTCTTTCTGCAATTCTTCATTCTCTCACTGGATTTAACACACTTATGTAACTGCTACCGATTTTGAAGAGGAATATAGTAAAAGAGAGGGGAAGATCCCCAAAAAGGAAAGGAAATCTGGTTAGCCCACATCACTCCCTTTCCTAATGTTCTTAGCAGCTTACACCACATGCTGGATAAAGTCCAAACTCATCAGTGTGGAGTCAAGGACTTTGGGGATTGGGCTCCTGCTTTTTTCCCCTTCATCCTTGGTTTGTCCGGCAGTGCTTGGCCAAAGTCCCCTGGCTGTACAGAGCTGCCTGCCACTCCCAAATGTGTTTACTGTTTCACACAGCCTGGCCTAGTTTATGTAGCTGCCTGTGTGAGTCCCTCAAGGGCAGGTACTGACTTGCTTGTCTTTGGATTCCCAGCACCAAGTGCAGTTCTGTATGGAGGTAGTAGGTGCTTGATAAATTTTGTTGAATGGGAGGATGAATGAATAAACAGTGACACCCAAAGAGAGCTGCTGAAGTTGAACTTCCTATCCAGCTTTAACCTCGTTCTACCAAGAATTTTCTCTGAGTGGGTGGGCTGTTTCTAGTTCCCAGGTGCATGTGTATCAAAGAAATGCAAACAAACCCAAACACCCAGGAGAATGGGCAGGTGTGGTTTGAGGAGTCTGTGCTCCAGACTCACCTGCTTCTCCTCAAAGCTCTTCAGCCCCTCCTCAATTTTCCTGAATGCACTCAGTCTAAGTGGGTAATGGCAGAGGGAAGATGGAGGGCACGGGGAGGTCCCAGCATGTGTTTTCACAGGGGGCTGCATCATTATGCTAATTCTCTTTGAAGCAAGAGAACTTTTATGAATGAATGGGTGCCCATGGATATGGATGTGTGCGCATGTGCATGTTCATCTACAATTAATGATAAAGCCTCATTTATGTGGACTTTGCAGTTTATAAAGGATTTCATGTTCATTATCCCATTAAGTCCCCATGAAACCCTGTAATTTATACAGAGTGAGTATTGTCATTTCCATTTTTCTGATGAAGAAAAGGTGTTGAGAGTTTAAGCGACTTGCTCAGGATTACACTTTGAGGACGCCTACCAAGATACAGATCAGTGGCATCACCTGGTTCTGTTTCTGGGCCCTGAGAATGGGCCTTAGCATCCAGGGACCCAATTCAGGAGGCCCTCTTCCTGGGACCCAATCACCCCTCCTGAGGACTGCATTACTCCAACACCCTCATGCCTTGTTAGTCAGTTCATCATTCATTGGACAGCTATTGAATTCTGTGATAAGAAATATATATTCGTTCTTTGGTTCCTGGTTCCTGACAGAAAGCTTTTAAGTCCTTTGGAACTGCCAGGGTGATAAGAGGATATTTTTTGTATGCTAATGAGACGACTGGTGGCAGGGAGCCCCTGGAGAGCTGCAGGATGGCGACTGGTCACCAGAAAGACCAAGCCATGATAAGAAGCTTGGAATTTTCAACAGCACAACAATAACAACAATAATAATTATTCTAGATGAGGCATTGTGGGGAAGCTAACATAAAAGGGGCCTCTTTAACTGGGTCTCATGGGTTCTACTGAGCCTCAGGGGCCCCAGGAGTTCCTCTGGACATTTAGAGATGTGGATCAAGGTGACTGGGTTGACCAGTCAGCCTATTTTCCTTTGGAGATTCATTCCTGACGTGTGGGCCTATCTTCCATAGGACTGTCAGCACTCGAGAACAGGAGAAACTGCTGAAAAGAGTGCAAGCCTCCTATGGGCACTGGGACAGCAAGTGGGGGCAGGTGGGGGTAAGCCCAGAGGATAGGGTACAGAGTCATAGAGTCATAGAGTCATAGAGTCAGATGAAAAGTGCAAAACTCAGTCCAGCTGCTGCTGTTCAAGAAAAGGGTGCATGGACTTTAGCTGGGACATGCAGCCCCCTTCAAGGCTGGAGAATAGGATCACCA